ACTATTTCTTTTACTGTTTATATTAAATATTATATATATCAAGCTTTCTTGGGATCATTTATCACAAACAAAAAATCTTTAAACTCTACTCGCAAATCATTTTCCGCTCGTTTATTTGTTTCCAGGGAGATGTGTTTATGGGATGTGAACGACGGACGCTGTATTGAGTTCACCAAGCTGGCCTGTGCTCACACCGGCATTCAGGTAAGAACGTGTCTTTAAATACGTGGTTTGGTCGCATAAACCTCAAGAAAAATGGGTGAAAACACCGAGAGGACAAGTACTAAAATCAGCACATTTTGACAGCAGTGATTCCAGCTCCTGTTTCTTTAATTAAAGTCACAGCAGACCAGTGGGGCTGCTGGACGACATAAAAACAGTCTTTATAACCAGGTTTTCGGTCCCTGATTCGTCCGTCTCGTCCTGCAGTTCTACCAGTTCACCATCGGCACTGAGAAGGAGGGCCGCCTGCTCTGTAACGGACATTACCCAGAGATCCTGGTGGTGGACGCCACCAGCCTGGAGGTTCTGTACTCGCTGGTGTCCAAGATCTCTCCCGACTGGATCAGCTCCATGAGCATCATCCGATCGCATCGCACGCAAGGTGAGATGCGGCTGGAGGCTTTATTTATCCAGGATGTTGATATTACCAACGCTGAGAGACGGTTTTGGTTTTGGAGCATGTGTCGGATTTTCCTGAATCCTGACTGAATGTTTTTCAGCTGGTTCTCGTGTAGTTTAAGTCTCCTCTGTGGAGACATTTTTAGTGCGTATCTTGCATTAAAAGCTTTGTTTTCTGTTTGCTTTAAATCATCGGAGTCCTTCTGCTCGACCGTCTCTGATTTACTTGAAATTTTTTACAGCATAAAATCTGGATATTTAAAGTAGTGTCTGTGAAGGTTTAGGTCGATATAGCAAATGTTTCCTGAAATACAATTTAAAAAAATAAAAAATCACCCGTCGACCTACTTTCTGCAGATTTTTGTATCACATTAAAATTTGAGGCTGTTTAAACAGCAATATCTCAGGAACTATTAAAGATCAAAAACCTGAAATTTCCACAGTTATTTCTCCTTTTTACCTCAGTTTTTATTGGCATCATATATTGATATTTATAAAGATATTTCAGAAATTTGAGCTTGATATATCAACTGCCTTCTGAGATAATTATTTAAAAAAAGCCCAACATGTACTCACATATTTCTGGACACTGAAAATTGAGGTTATGCTTCAAATTATAATTATATTTAAAGAACCATTTTTAAACTTCACAACTCTACTCGGATCAGACTATCTACCAATCTTTTTATTTCTGTGGGACAACTTGTCAAAGCTGCTCAATCAGTTATGAAAGTTCAACAAAAATAACTTTTTTCCATTTTATGATCAAGTATTTCATATTGAAAAGTACTCTGAATGTTTTTGTGTGTGTAATTGGGACATGAAGGCTTCAATTGTTGTTTTTTTTGTATCTTCAATGACCCATAATCAGTGAAAATTTCAGGATTTTATCTTCAATAATTCCTCAGATATTGTTGTTCAAGCAGCCTCATGTGAGGATAAATCCTGCTGAAAGTGGGTCAACGGGCAACTTTTAGAAGCAATTATCTCAGAAAGTACTCAATAAATCATCCTACAATATCACAAATATCTTTTCAAATATCCATAGTTTATGATAAAAAAGTTCCAATCAAACCAGAGACTGTGAGCAGGAGGAACTCTGATGATCTGAGATGGAATAAACCAGAACTGTTAATAAGCAAATGTTGAATTTGTCGTCTTCCTGTGTGACTACAGAGGACACGGTGGTGGCAGTGTCAGTGACGGGCATTTTGAAGGTCTGGATCATAACAGCTGAGGTCAGCAAGATGCAGGTACACTCCATACAGATGTTTGTTTTCTAAAAAAACAAACATCAGACTTGTGGTATCAGACTGTGCTGTAAACACCTGGAAAACATCAACACAAGTTTTCACAGTTTTTGATATGAATTCTATGAGAACATACACTCATATAAATACACTTCCTCAAATACAATCCATCCAAGATCAAGAAACACCTCCAGGCTGATGCGTCGTTTTGTTTGGGTTCAGGCTCTGATTTCTAATCTGTTTGTGTGTTCAGGACCTGGATCCAGTGTTTGAAGAGGAGTCCAAGCCCATCTACTGTCAGGGCTGCCAGAGCATTTCCTTCTGTACGTTCACCCAGAGCAGCCTGCTGGTCGTCTGCTCCAAGTACTGGAGGGTAAGAGTCGACCAGTACGGGTTCTTCAAAGACCGATAACCGATATTTGGAACCAGTTTACATCAAATGTTATATACTGACAGCATGTGAAGCTGGGAACCTGTAATTACTAACTGTGCTTGCTCAACAAAACGGTTTATCATGGCTGACTATGTACAAGAACAATAGAAGGGACGACGTCAGAGCGTCATGTGATGCTCGAACGTTCTCTGTTTACGATGAGATTGATTGAGATTGATTACTTTATCTCCTGCAGTTACCTGTGTTCTACCACTTTCACTGCCTATTCAGGCTCAGATCTTAAAGCATTATGCGTTATTGTTGCCCAGACTGTCAGGTTTAATCTGTGGCTGCCTCCTGACTTAGCCGTTAGCATAGCCTTAGCCCCCGTAAAAGCAGCTAATTTCCTGATTAGTGGGGGATGGTTTGTGCTTCTTGTTCGGTTCCTGCAGGTTGTGTCTCAACTCCAGAGACGTGTCAGTCGGTTAGAACAGATTGTTGAAGTTCGTCTTGCTTCAGAAACATGTTATAGTTAGCGTTAGCCACAGGCCTGACCGCTAACCCCATTAGCATAGACTTAGCCAATGTGAAAGTAGCTAATGGTTTGTGCATATTGTTAAATTTTTTAAGGTTGTTTCTCTGCGAGAGAGACTTCTCTGTCTGTTAGAGCAGATTATTAAAGTTAGTCTTACTTTAGAACGACGTTATAGTTAGCGTTAGCCAAAGGCCTGAGCGCTAACCCTTTTAGGCAAAATACACTCCAGCTGCACTGACACAGACAAGTGAACTATTCTGGCATTTTCAGACATTGGGCTTTTTAGAAGATTGTGGTGTTTCTTACAACTTTATCAACACAGCTCTGCTAATTCACAGGAGCTGCTCTGTTTCTGCGAATGTGCTCGTCTGTCTCTCTGTGTAAACAATCGCTTCAGTGTTGATTGGCTGGTATTGTGACATGTAACCAATCAGGTAGAGCTATGGGCGGGGCATTAATGAGACCACAGAGTGACGACAGAGAGACAGGAGGCTGAATCAGAGTCACAGTCGCTCGTTTTATTGATAATTGAGTAACAAAAATAACACTACATGCCAAGAATCTGTCCTGATAATGGGTTTGTCCCTGATGCTGATCGTACCACACACCTGAAGTCTGGGTCTGAACTAACATCTACATACTCAATCTGCGTGTTGCTGTTTGTTATGTATCAGGTGTTTGATGCGGGCGACTACTCGCTGCTCTGCTCGGTGCCCAGCGATAACGACCAGGCCTGGACCGGAGGAGAGTTCATCGCCGCCGACAAAGTCATCATCTGGACCGAGGACGGCTGCAGTTACATCTACAAGCTGCCGGCCAGGTAAGCCTGCTGCCTCACCTGACAGACCGAACACCACAGAAGAAGAGCACAGACTCACCGTGGTGCTCACTTAAAGCATATCGATAATTCACACTTCTTGTTTGCGTGTGTCCTTCAGCTGTCTGTCCGCGAGCGAACATTTCCGCAGCGACGTCGGGAAAACTAAAGAAGGTTCGATCCCTCCGCTGGTCTACAGCATCGCAGATCGCGCCGACAAACAGGTGAGTCGTCTGTCTTTTACGTTCCCGCTTGTATTTAAAACGCAGCTGATGGACGTGAAGCGAAAAGTTGTAATTTGCAAGAGAAATTCGCCTTATTTCTGCTCAGCACACATCCTCACCAAACGGCTCCATCCTATATTGTGATATACAGCAAAACTAAGCATTTATATGTATTTTTTTACCTGAATAATTCAGATCTGTTCAGGCTGCGGTAGAATAACTGTAGGACGACTGGACACGACGACAACATAAACGTACAGACAACACCACAAACAGGATCCACAGAGGGTTGTGTTCTCAGTGTGTTGATCTTTGCTGCATTTTTTTTCAAGGTAGAGCACAAAAAGTGGTGAAATTTGTCTGATTCTGACATAATTATAAAGATTTATGTCCTCGGAAAGCTCAGAGAAGTGTTTGGTTATAATGTTGAATGGCTGTGACTCATTTAGAAATGTCTTGTTGAGGATACGTCGATATTTTACGCTCTTGTTTTGCATCTCAGCTCAACGTAGCCACCGATAATATACTGACTTATTATACTGTTAGATGTGTTTCTGACTCTAGAATCATAAAATATTCATGACTTCTTGTCCAGTTAATTTACAGGTAAAGTACAGTTCAGAAAGGTGTAATTTAAATGATGAAAAGGTGCTTCCAGATCAGGGTTTTCCTCACAAATGAGCTAAAGCTAACCTGACTAGCATGATTTTTTTTTTTTTTTTTAACATATACAGAGAATGTGGACTCCAGTTATGCCAATTAGACAGTAATTATTTAATTCATAGTGAAAAATTAAAGGCAGCTCATGGAACAAACCAAACCTACTGAATGAATCAGAGCTCTGTGGTTTAAAAACATGAATTAACAAACTACATGAATGACGATAGAAGCTGTCGACTACAGAGCGATAAGCAGTAAACGTGGGCCTCAGACAGCTGTGTGTAGTTGTACTGCGTCAGTACTCTGTGTTCTGTTTGTGATGGTATTTGATTTATTGTGATCCAGGCTCACTTCACACACACGGATTGATGGATCTGGTGGTGTTTTAAAGCTCACATGTCGGTGTGACGCTGTAAAATAATGTAGAACAATTCAGCCGTCTCTGGTTTGCCTGAAGATTTTATAGCTTAGAATACGGACATTTATAAAGATATGTGGGAAATTCTAGCTCCATATATCAAATGCATTTTTTAAAAAAATCACCCGTCGACTCACTTTCAGCAGCTTTTTTTCTCATGTTGAAATTGGAGGCTGTTAGAAATGTACCCAGAGTCCTCATGTGAAGTTTGCTGTAGTGGGTTTTTATTAGTCTTCTGTTCTATGGTGGGCTCACCGACACAGAGCAGGAGTCTGTGGACGTCGGCCAGAGCATTCACAGAGTTACACTTTTTTTTTGGGCATGTCAGAGGACAGGGAGGCGCCGTATGTAAACACCAAAG